TTCCTTACAGTCTCACTGGAGGCCAAATTAATGCCATCCATAGTTAGTATATCCTTAGATAATTTGTTTCGTAGATTCTTCGGGCCAAGTACAATAACTTCAGTTTTGGTCGTGTTTAACATCAAAAAGTTTAAGATCATCCACGTTTTTAAGTCCTTAAGGCAGTCTTGAATTTTATTTAGATGATTAATTTCATCAGGCTTGATTGATAAATATAGTTGAGTATCATCCGCATAACAATGAAAGTATACAGAATGATTCCTTATAATATTGCCTAACGGAAGCATATATAATGTGAACAAAATAGGTCCGAGCACTGAGCCCTGTGGCACTCCATGGCTAACTTTGGTTTGCGTGGAAGATTCATCATTGACACGTACAAACTGAGAGCGTTCAGATAGATAGGACCTAAACCAGTCTAAAGCAGTTCCCTGTATGCCAACTAAGTGCTCTAGTCTTTGCAATAAGATATCATGGTCGATAGTATCAAATGCAGCACTGAGATCGAGCAAAACAAGAATAGAGACACGTCCCTTGTCAGAGGCTATTAGAATGTCATTTGTGACTTTAACCAGAGCTGTCTCTGTGCTATGATGTGTTCTAAAGCCAGACTGAAAATCTTCAAATAAATCATTGTTTTTTAAGTAATCACACAACTGTTTTGCGACCGCTTTCTCAAGAATTTTTGAGAGGAACGGAAGATTGGAAATAGGTCTATAATTGGCTAAAACCTCTGGATCGAGGTTGTGCTTTTTAAGAAGCGGTTTTATCACTGCTACTTTGAATGATTGTGGAACATAGCCTGATAATAAAGACATATTCATAATATTTAATAAATAAGTGCTAATTAATGGAAAAACTTCCTTCAAGAGCTTAGTTGGAATTGGGTCTAACATACACGTTGATGGTTTAGAAGAGAGAATCATTGAATTTAATTGTTCAAGGTTTATGGCTGAAAAGCATTCTAGTTTACTATCTAGTGTAATATTAGAACTTACGTTTCCGGGAGCTGTTGATAACACTATACTGGTCAAAGGCAAGAGGTCATTAATTTTGTTTCTAAGAGTAACAATTTTATCGTTAAAAAAGCACATAAAATCATTACTACTGAGTGCTATGGGAATAGAAGGCTCAATCGAGCTGTGGCTCTGTCAGCCTGGCTACAGTGCTGAAAAGAAATCTTGCATTATTCTTATTCTCATCTATTAATGAAGAGTAGTAGGCTGCTCTCGCTTTACGCAGTGCTTTCTTATATTCATTGAGAGTAATATGCCAAATTAAACGAGATTCTTCAATTTTAGTGGAACGCCATATCCTTTCAAGTTGTCTCGACTTTTGCTTTATTTTGCGGGTTTCGGCATTATGCCATGGAGCTAATCTATGTTGTTTTATTTTCTTCTTTTTCAAAGGAGCAACAGAGTCTAATTTTATTCGCAGCGCATCTGTAGCACTATCAACAACATGATCAATTTGGGGTGGTGTACATTTTGTATAAGTTTCCTCCCTTACATGCAGACATGCTATCGAGTTAAGTATTGGTGGAATCTCTTCCTTAAATTTGGCTATAGCACTAACAGATAGGTTTCTGCTGCAATCTTTATTGCATTATCCACTGAGGCATGGTGAAGGGAGAACTGATCTGGAGGAATGATGCTATTGACGCTGCAGAATGGGCCAGAGCAGGGAGCGGACAGATCAAACATCAGCCTTTTATTTACGTGTGGCTATTCCGATGGGATTTGAACGGAACACTGAGAAGGGGGAGGAGCTAAAAGGACCGATTATATATCCTTTGAGAAATTCTTTGTCGATGAGCTGGGAAACTATGTTGGGTTCTTTAGCGGCTGACTGTAAGTTTCTTGCTACGAAAGTCACTGTGGGAGATGGGAGGACCCCTACCCTGAAGCCTTGGGAGAGCCCTGACAGGAGATAGTCAACAAACACGGAATCTGTAGATAGCGCAGCTGCTAGCTGGGGGATGTTAATGGGAGTGGAGGGGTGATATTCCAGAATGTTTTTAGTTATTTATTTATTTTTTGATGTTTCTGGTGCAGAGCCACTGTGACGGCCCGTCCACACGGTGGCATGCGTTACAGCTTCCAAACGCTTCTGCCCATTCACTTTGAATGGGGTGACGTCACTTTTAGCCGAACTGTATTTTGGGAAGCGACGTGGAGCGTTTGCTGGCGTTGCTCGCTTCAAAAAGTTGAGCAATGTTCGACTTTTGGCGCCTCGGCAGAAGCGTCAGCCAATGAAATCCCGTTTATGCAAATCTGCCAGTACAAGCGCTAGCCAATCAGACCGCGTGTATGCTGGGAGAGACTACGCAGGTAATTCCTCATATTCCAAAAATGTGAGGGAAAATTCATTATAGCGGTAGTGAATCACCCGGTGCTGTATGATCAGTCTCTGTTCATCTCCCGGGATACAGACCAGAGGAGCGAGGCATGGAGGGAGGTGGCAGAGACAGTGGGTGAAACTGGTAGGTTTTCGCCTGTTGGGGATTTTTTTTTTTTTTTTTTCTTCCAGTTTACTTAGTTTTAACATTGCTATTGCTTTGTGTGTTGGGGGCAAGAGATTCATGTGATTGGTTGTTGTTGCTGCTGTGCGGACCAGTAGCGTAGGCAGAAATGTACTTTAGGGTGGGCCTGTAAAAATATAGGGTGGGCCAGATTTTTCTTCTGCGCATCAGAAACTAACCACAATCCCGCCGATACCGGTGGCAGATTACTTCCTTTCCTCTTCTTTTTCTTCTTTCCTCTTCTTCTTTTTATCTTTTATTTTTCTTCTTTCCTCTTCTTTTTATATTTTCTTTCTTCTTTCTCTTTAGAATACTTTCTTTTCCATAACAGATGGGTATGTTTTGGTGAACGGGAGACACGTATTTTACTGTTTTAATGGCTTATGAAGAGCACAAACACAACATCTTAGTGTCATTCTGGACAGCTCTCTCATCTGCACCGCACATAAAAAGAAAAACTCACCCAGACTGCATTCTTTGTACTGTCTTAAAACCTTTCCTTGGAAAAGTGTATGCATTGTAAGGTGTCCTTGGGTGCTTTGAAAGGCGCCCCTAAATAGAATGCATTATCATTATTATGTATTATCTGAAACGATGTAATAACTTTTAAAACTTTTCCCAGTTACTTACCCCATGCATTCGGCAGCAGCAGGCCATTCAGTTAGATTTGATCCCGTTATAAATGTCATCATTTCGACAATAAATACATGCTACATAAACGTTATCTTCCACGTTTTATCTAAACATCTCCGTTTCTACTTTCCAATATGTTTTGAAAGAGAACTCTCTCTCTCTCTCATCTGCGTGCGGGGCGGGGCCTCACGGACACGCTGCATCTCTCGCTCGCAGATACGCTGCAGCGCTGTGCACACGGTTCTGCCGGTAATGAATATTACATATTGTGAGGAAACTTTCCACCAATAATTCCAATAAGTATTCACTTCAGGTTTACAAAAGTAACTGCACTCAGATTACTCGTTTTTCAAATGTAACACCAGCTGAATATACTGATTTTTTTCTTTTCTTTTTCTTCTGATTACGTAACACCGTTACATGTATTCCGTTACAGCCCAACCCTGTGTAAGGGTGAGTGCAAACATTTTCGTTAAAACTAGTACCTGAGTGCAACGGAAGTTGAAGCTCCTGTGGCGGAGTCTTCCAGAGCCTGGAGGCGAGCATCGATAGCTATCATGGAGCTAGCCAGGGATTGCAGGGAGCCGGCCGCGCTACTCTCCATAGGGGTGTGTTAGTGACGCTCCCGGACTGGCGAGCCTGAGAAGGGGTGGATTTTTGGAGGGGGATGGGATCCTGGAGGGCTCGACTTCCTGCCCTTTTTTACCTCCGCGGCTGCGGCCTCGTCCTCGCCCTGCTCTCTGGGGAGCTGACTGGAGCTGCTGCCCCGGACTGGGGAGCTACGCTGGAGACCTGGTCCGAGAGCTCTCGCAGCTGAGAGAGAGTGAGGCCTGGGGCTGTGGGAAAGCCCTGCTGCAGGAGCCGGGCGATGAGGAAGTCTGCCTCTGTTGATAAGCCGCTGTGGGGAGCCGAACCGGGATCGGAGACTTCCAGAGAAGGTTCGTGTTCCGAATTGTCCGAGTTGGACATCTTGAGCTAGTTGTTTCTTACGGTTTTTTCTCACGAGAAGGAGTATTGTATTGCAACTACCATTGCTTGCGGTCATCTGCAAATGACAACTGACAGGGAGGAAGAGCAGGCATTTAAGGCATTTAGCATGTGCAGCTATTGGCTGCTGAGGGGTGACGCCCTCATATTTAATGAGGGGGGAAGGGAGCCATAGAGTGACGTGTAAGTGACTCGTGTTAGGTCTTCCTTATTGAACTTGCGCTAAAGCTTTCATTTCCCATCAGGCTGTATTTGTTTTCTTTATACAGTAGAGTCAAATAGCTTGATAGAGTATGTTTATATTTAGACAAAGACATAATGAAAACCTTTGTAGTTATCCTCAATAGAAGCACAAGTTACCTTTGACAAAGTGTGCTTCCTGACCTCTTCTCTTTTCCCAAAGAGGATCACACCAGCTGAGTAATGGTTGAGAATATAAATCCTCGTCCCAGTTCACATTTATGTGCATGTATATGGACAAGACACTCGATGATCAGGAGAGAATGTCGACAAGCAGACATTAATAAGAAATACAATTATATTAAATAATAATGTAGTTGACAGGTGTTAAGTTTCGTTGATAAAAACAGGAAATTATAACAGTGAATGACCACATTTGACTACTTCTAGTGTACAATAAAAGTTAAATATTCAACTGTGGATGCCTTTTAAGATTCACTTTTAAACAGTTTATTACATTTTAGGCTTTGGGTGCTAACAAGACTTCAGTGGTGTGCCATGAAGCTAGCGTTACATGAATATTGGATTAATGTGTAGTGAAGAGACTTGGTATGAGCACTGGTTCTGTCCTGTGATATGGATGAAATACCTCGCCTGTAAGCCACTGGTGTGGTCTGAGGGTCCGCATGTCAGAGTGACGGATGGTAAAACTGTTGCCTCTTATTTGCGTGGGGACTACAGACACCACCACCTCAGTGTCCTTTTTTTTCCACAACGCGGTCAGCTGGGGGTCACAAAAAAAATACTATATAATTTTTATGTCCCAAAGCTAGATTGTTAACAGAGCATGAGATACACATTGCAAATTGAAAGGTATTATTTTATAACGTTCCTTTAGCATTCCTTAAACATTAAAATCTGCATTTTAACTTTTTAGTTAATCAATTATTTTACTATTTTTATCTGGTCCCTCTGATGAACTCCCTGATGATGTGTCCTTACAGTTTCTTACCTCTGATGAAGCATCCACTTTACCTCCCTGTGCGTCATCCTCAGCATGCTCCGTCATGTCTGATGTGGATGAAGATTGACCTTGTCTTGCCTTGTATTTTGGATCCTGTATAGAAGCCGAAACATCAACATTGCCTTCCACATTGTCCAATATGTGTTGTTAAGTGCATGTTATAGGTAATCACTTCATCACACAATTTGAATCTTCAGTTCTTCTATCATTACCTACAGTATACTAATAGAAAATGCAACATTAAGCTTTAGATTCCAAGCTGGTTTAGATGTATGTGTTTCAAATGCTTCCTGGCTTTGTTTAACCATGCTAAATGGGATTACCTGTGATGGAATATGTGCTTCCGTTTCACCTGGCGCTTGTTTTTGTAGTGGAGCTGGAGCTTTTTCTGTTTTTGTCTTCTGCATGAGCTGATAAAAACAAAGTGTTAATAACACAAATATTATAACATTTATGTTATTTTCAACAAACAGGATAACAATGGTTTGCTCTCAAAAAATACATAAATTCTTCTTGTGCTGTCTGAAAACAAAAGGCTTGTTTATGGGTGTCACATAAACTCCTCGCCTGTTCTGCTTTCTTTTTTTCCATCGCTCCATGTCCACACGATGGGTCTGCAGTTAATAAGGAATATTGACAGGGTAAATGCACTCATAAATTACCTTTCATTACATATTCTGCCATTTCACGTTATTCAATGTTGTTTTCTTTTCACAACAAACATTATCTTTGCCTGAAATAAATGTATTATTTCATTAATTATTATTCATCAAAATTATGAAACCAACTACATTCAGCATAGTTGCATCACAGTTTTGATTGGTGTATCAATATTATTGTGATATTATTAGCACACCTAATATAACTGTTAATAATGACCAAATTACCTGCAGAATAACTGTTGAGAAAATACTGAATGTAATAATAATAATAATAATAATAATACATGGGATTTTAAAGCGCTTTTCATGAAACTCAAAGACGCTTTGACAGAGAGTTAAGAAAAATAAAGACGAGAAAAATAAAAAAAATAGATAAAGAAATACAAAAAGAGATAAACAAAACAGAAAATAGGGGGGAGGGGGTGGTCAGGGGGGGAGGGGGGTGGTCAGTGGTTGAATGCAGTGTTGAACAGGTGGGTTTTGAGTGATGTTTTGAATGCTGTGAGGGAGGAAGAATCTCTGATGGATTGGGGTAGTGAGTTCCAGAGGGTGGGTGCAGCAACGGAGAAGGCTCTGTCGCCCCAGTACACTTTGAATATCAGAGTAGCACATGATGACAAAGACCCTAAGTAGCTGTGTATGTAACAGGATGTGTGATTACCTAGAAGAGAATCAGGACTGTTTGAGGCATATGATAGCTATGTGATTAACATGATGATTCAGCCTCTATGGAGATAGACATATGACAAGCATGATCATTTCTGACGTGAGCCTTAGCTAATCTCAACTAAACATTGTATACTGCTTTGAACCGGTATTCCTCCATCTTGTGACGGTGTAAAAAGTCTGTCTACAAGTCTCTTATATATAAAGCTTGTGAAGGACACTGCTCTGTGAACTATTTGTACCAAATGCTCTGTACGTGATGAATACTTCCATTCTTGCAAGGATAATAAATACATGTATCCTGATTATTGAAACTCAAGCCAGTGGCGAGTGATATTTTCCTAACATAATCGATAGCAATGCTTAATGACTAGGGACAAATGTGATAACATAACAGCCATATATAAATAACAAACTGTACCTTCTTCCCCCTCCTCAGAGAGTCGCCATATTCCCTTAGCAGGGCGCTCAAGGTGACTTTGTATGTATGTACAAAATCGTCCAGCCTGGTCAGACGTCTCCGTTGAAAACTGATCTTTTTGAGGTCCCACTGGCTTTTTTCCATTATCCCTTGAGTTTTGTTGTCCTCTGTGTAATTCTGCGGTTGAACATATTAGTTACGGTACATCAAATTATATTGTTAACAATCACTTGGTTGGATTACATACTGTTTACATTGCAGTTTATAATATTGATTATAGAATAATGCATTGAAATGCAATATTACATCAAAGCTTTAGGTTTTTGTACCTGTGTGGGTTTTTTTGCAGCATTTTTGTACTTCTGGGAAAGTTTCTGATAAATGGTCCCTGTTCCATGGCGTCCAAGGTCACCTAACCAAACAGTAAACATGCCTTATTATTTTATATTACATTACATTAACAAGCAGCTATAGAAAGACGTGCAAAATAAAACGTACCCAAGAGTAGACCAGACCACAGACTAGGCAGGGGCAGAAAGTACTTAAGCAAGGAAGGGATGAAAGTCGGGCAGAAGTACATGTTGTCATCACCAGATTTCTCAATAACTGTTTGGGTTATTAAGTCCTCAAAATGCTGTTTGAAGGGCGTAGGTCCGATATCATTCTAGAAAAAACAATCCACAAATAACTTTAGTTGCATTGCATTGAGCTTGGGGTAATAGAAAAATATGTAAACCATGTTAATATTTTTCATTGTTTCTGGTCACACTGCCTCTGTCCTCTTTTCTGTGCTGTGTTGTACTTGAAGGTAAACAAATAATTTGTAATGATATTTTTGAGCTATGAAACAACTTCCAACATTCACATAATTATTACCACACAGTCTTCCACAATGGTTGAATCGTCCAAGTTTGACTGCGCTGAATTTGTCGGTAGTCCTTGGAGATTTTCAAAATGTTTTCCAACATTTCTGTCACTGTGGGAGCTGGAGAATACCACCACAGCACTGGTGACAACTTCATCCAGCTCGGACATTGTGGTGGCATTTATTAGGCAAGGCAAGTTTATTTATATAGCACTTTTCAACACAAGGCAATTCAAAGTGCTTTACAAAAAATGAAAGACATTAAGAAAATGGCATTTAAAATCAGTCATTAAAAAGAAAAGCTAATAAAATAAACATTAAAAGAAAAAATACATGGATAAAAGTTACAGTGCAGTCTAAGATATGAATAGTTCAATTAAAAGCAGCGTAGTAGTTTTGGTAGTAGTCCAAGTAGTACTGAATCCAACAGTACCAATTACATTAAGAACTTATTGCACAAAATCATTTTATCTCTCATCAAAGATGGCAGAAAACATGCATTATTGTACTCAGGGGTGGAGTTTGACAAAGGATTACTCAAAAGGTACACAGTAAAAGTACTTGATTGTACTTTTGGTAGTAGTCCAAGTAGTACTGAATCCAACAGTACCAATTACATTAAGAACTTATTGCACAAAATCATTTTATCTCTCATCAAAGATGGCAGAAAACATGCATTATTGTACTCTGGAGGGGAGTTTGACAAAGGATTACTCAAAAAGTACACAGTAAAAGTACTTGATTGTACTTTTGGTAGTAGTCCAAGTAACACTGAATCCAACAGTACCAATTACATTAAGAGCTTATTGCACACAATCATTTTATCTCTCATCAAAGATGGCAGAAAACATGCATTATTGTACTCTGGAGGGGAGTTTGACAAAGGATTACTCAAAAAGTACACAGTAAAAGTACTTGATTGTACTTGTGGTAGTAGTCTAACAAGTCCAACAGTATCACTTTTATTAAGGATGTATCGCTAAAAATCATTTTATCTCATCAAATATAGCAGAAGTTGCATGATTTTGTTCTCAGGAGGGGAATTTGAGAGTATTACCCAGAAAAAAGACAGTAAAAGTACTTCATTTTATTGTACTGAGTCAAACAGTGTTAGTTTTTTTAAGAACTAAATCGCGCACTCAAAAATGAAGAACTGCTCATTTGACCAAGCAAATTTGAGAGACGGCTGAGTTGACCGCAGTCAAAATTCCGTGTGTGTAAAAAGACGATCCACAAGCAGAAATGTGAGATCCACGAGCAGAGATTTGAGATCCGCAAGGGCATTTTTGGTCGACAAATACAAAATGGATTCACAAATGCCTGATCGAAAGTTGTAAATGTTAAAGAGATAATCACAGATCTTTTTTTTATTTGTGAAAATATTTAGCGTATTTGCGGATCCATTTGACACTTGCACATTTATTTGTGAGTTTGCAAATCTTTTAAATGCATTTGTGGATGGTGTTTTGCATTTACAAATCACATATTTACACACAAATTATTTGTATGTTCACACAAATAATTATGAGACATATCTATGCCCATAAATCTGACTATTCAGTTTCTGTTTAAATGTGAAGGGTTAAATGAAAGAAGCTCGTCTCTGCGAGTCTGTGAAGAGAGGAGCTGTTGGATGTCCAGGCGGTCCAGCTATGAATTCACAGAGGGCCCCGCTATAGTAACTGAACGAGAGAGTAATGTCAAATGACAATACAATTGACCAATCATATCTTCCCTCTAAATGGGTGGGTGTTATTATCGCGGACTTTATGACAAGTTCCGCCCGCTGTGAAACTTTTCTTGTTTCCATAGCAACAACAACTTCCTGTCAACAGCGTTAACTCGCCTTCAAAAATAAAAGCATGCCAAAGTACACTTAAGACATACAACTGCAACGAAAGTAACAAACACAATGCAATATCCTTTTCAATTTCAAAGAACACAAATAGGGTTATTTACAGGTGTTGTTTTGTGTGGTAGAGGGTCGCTTTCATTGATGCGTTTTGCACCCCGGGCTGTTGTTTTGATATTCCGCTGAAGTATAACCCGTGTGACGTAATAACTCGAGGGAAGGGGGGGGGGGTCAGAGGGCCTAGGTATAAAAGTCACGGCTCGCCACTGGTACTGAATGTATGTAAGTGGCTTTGGATAAAAGCGTCTAACAAATGACATGTAATGTAATGTATAGGTTCACTTGAAGCAATTGTATTTCCGTGAAAATGTAGCATATATTTCCTATCTAATTTGCCAACAAATGTTCTCGGCTGCCAGTGATCGCCTAGCTATGGATGGTAAAAACATTGTGAGAGGAGGAATAGTTATTTTTCTCCAAATTCTACTTGTTATCCAGCTGACAGAAACTGCCTAGTGGCAAAACCTGGGCAGCACATTCCCAAATAGTTTAAAATAACACCGCAGCCAGGAAACATTAACAGAAAATTATAAATATCAAATTGTCAACTTTATTTCTTGGTTTTCAGGTGCTCTACATGCAACATAAATAATATATTTATGTTACATTAATATTGTCATACTTGGATTAGGTTACAGAAATCATCAGGTTATTAGTAAATGTAACAGAAGACATTTTTAAAGTTACACTCTCAACCCTGCTGCACCTGTATATACTCTTGTTACAGTTTCTCATTAATTGTAAAGTACATTAAAAAATATAATGTAATTTAAACTAACTACGATATTAAAACGGAAGACCCCTGATTTTATGGCTGCATAATAGCATAAAGTGGAAATATTGTAGATGTTTTGTGCAACATATTATACGCGTTTCCCAAACTACACTGAACTAGCCAGTACTAGCAAGTAAAAGCTAATTGTTAGTGTTAAAACAAGAACCCTAACCATTCTCAACAAGCAATAGCGCTGAGCTTCAAAACAAAGGTCTAACGCAGTCTTAGTGTTGTCTGTTATCTGGTGAGAGTAAAACAACCTGCCGTGAGAGAACAGACTGGCACTCGTGCTGTGCTCTATTCCAAGCCTAACATCCTTCGTATGGCTCAGAGGTTATTGAAGGGATGAACGTTAAATGCTTCACTTCCCCTCGGTAATAAGCAACGCTAAGTCACAGACAAGCCGATGATCCAAATGAAAGTCTGTGTCAAAAAAAGACAGCGTATTAATTCCTGCTGGTGATTTTGGTCTTCTCATCTGAGTTTATTTTCACTTGTCAAATACACAAGCAAGACAGAAAAAGTGCTCCTGTGAATATTTTCGTCTTCCGCCTTGATTGAAGACCTGAAAAGAATGAAGTCAACCATAACTGTTCGTCTTGTTAGGGCACAGCCAGCGTTATCTCCTCAGTTCTGAGGAAGCAGGGACATTCAGCGTGACACCAGCAACGCAGAGGAGAAGATAAATCCTTCTTCCTGTGCTGTGGCCTTTTGTCCTTCTATTTACACCACTTTCCTCCTTACTTCAAATTCAAAGTTTTGGGATGCACAGTATATCAATTGTATCAAGATGTAGGAGTTCAGGTCTGAATATGTTCAAAGAGGGAGGATTTGTGCTGGAAGAGAGGCCATTCACAGGGCAAAAATGGCCAAGAAGAATCCCAGTGGCTACAACAACTTACACGTTTACACACCTTTATGGTACCTAAACTAAAGTGCTCAAACCAATGCCTGTTTTCAAAAGTATGTATGTGCCATTGTTGTAGTCTTCTCCTCTGGACGTTTTGTTGTGTTGCGAACCTTGAAGCGGTGGTGAGCTGTACTTGCTAGTTAGATAAACTTGTATTCCAACACCACAGTACGACCTCCATCATAGCACATTCATTGATTTGGTTCAGAAGTGGAGAATAAGCGAGGCCAGTTTCAATTGTTGCAAAAGTTATTTGAGAGAGCTGACAAATAATCTAAATAGCAAATTTGTCAAGTTAACTTTTCGATTCTAAAGGTCAATTTGTCACTATGCAATGCCCTCCGCTGTATGCCACGCTTCAATAGGGATGAGTGTGTTTACATGGTTCTGACTGCTCCTGGGGTCATTTGCATTACTTGGAGCCAATTCTTTCAGTTTCCAGTTCAGCAGGATTCTGTATTTCTTTTGACAAGTCATTTGATATCCCTGCAGTGGAGTGATTCCTAATGCTGAGCCGTCAGGTTCTTCCTGATATGAGGTGTGAACAGGGCCGGACTGGGACAATAAGTCAGGCCGGGAATTATACACCCAGCCAGGCCACTACCAGTTTTCTTTTGTGCCATTTTTCTGGATTTATTTGTCAATATTTACAGCGTTGCTGCCCATAGTGATAGCCCTAAACTTTAAATCTACTACCCCAGAATAAACATATGGACATGGGTTACTAATTTAAAAAAAAGTGCAAATCTATTTAGGAACCTATCCATGTGAACATATTTTAAGTTGAGGTGGACCTCAAATCCTCTAGGGGGGTCCGGGGGCATGCTCCCCCGGTAAGATTTTTTTTTTTAAATGTTGGACTTAAATGCATCAATCTGGTGCATTTTGAGGGGGAAATAAAGAGACTACACCCATATGAAACAGAACTGTATACATTTAAATAATCATAAATTAATAAGAACATGGCCATAACTAATAACATCCCATATCCAATATGAAAAAACATTGAAACTTGTTTATTTATTTGTTTTTGGTTCATTTATAGTTGTGAGCGTGTCTGGGCTCCTGAATCAGCCTCACCTGTCTCCCTCCTCTTCCCCTGCTCCTCTTTGAGGCAGCAGCAAAGACTAGTTTTAGCTCTCAACACGTTTTTAAAGTTTATCTTACCTTTTTTCACCTAGTTTTATTATTCATCCATATTTTACTAATCACTCCCCCTTCAAATGGAAATATGTGTTTACATAAATAGTGACCAAACCGTTTGAGACCCACAGAGAACTTAGACTAAGTTAACTAAACACTTTACCTCACCTGAGGCTGAGCTGTAGTTATCAGTCTCTCAGTCTGACAGGAGAGGACTCTCCTCCACCTTGTTGACAGCTCATGATATCCGTTAGCGCATCTAGCTAGCACCAGATGCTAACAACAACAATACACGTAACCGGTGCGCGCGCTTTCTCTCTCGCTCGCTCGTGACACACATACACACACCCTCCCGAGCTTGAATGACACACAGAGACCAATCGAGGGCTTTAGTGTATGATCTGTATGAAAGTGGCCATGTCGGCAGGCA